TTGCAAAAAAAGCAAATATGATTCTAGGTTGTATTAACAGGTGTGTTGTAAGCAAAACTCGTGAAGTCATTCTGCCGCTCTACTCTGCGCTAGTTAGGCCTCAGCTGGAGTACTGTGTCCAGTTCTGGGCGCCACATTTCAAGAAAGATGTGGAGAAATTGGAAAGGGTACAGAGAAGAGCGACAAGAATGATTAAAGGTTTAGAGAACATGAACTATGAAGCTAGGCTTCATGAACTGGGCTTGTTTAGTTTGGAAAAAAGAAGATTAAGGGGGGACATGATAGTGGTTTTCAAATATCTAAAAGGGTGTCACAAGGAGGAAGGAGAAAATTTGTTCCTCTTGGTTTCTGAGGACAGGACATGGAGTAATGGGCTTAAAGTGCAGCAGGGGAGGTTTAGATTGGACATTAGGAAAACATTCCTAACTGTCAGGGTGGTCAAATATTGGAATAAATTGCCAAGGGAGGTGGTGGAATCTCCCTCTCTGGAGATATTTAAGAACAGGTTAGATAGACATCTGTCAGGGATGGTGTAGACGGAGCTTGGTCCTGCCTTGAGGGCGGGGGGCTGGACTCGATGACCTCTCGAGGTCCCTTCCAGTCCTATGATTCTATGAACTATGAAGTGACCTGTCATTAGTAAATATTTTACCTGCCTTAAAATTAAATATTTCTCTGTCAGTGTCTTAAGAAGGGCTGTGTTTCAAAGGTTAAGCCAGCTAATTCTCTTAGAGACTCCAATATTTGCTGCAGTTATTCAAACTCTACTTGCCTTGAGATAAGATGTGTGAATTTTAATAGAATTGGTGATTTTTTTGTGAGGGGAGTATAAAATTTGCTGAACAGTTTCACACTATAAGTAATAAGTATTTCATAGTCCATTTGCCATCTCCTGCTTTTAGCTTTCTTTTTTTCATGCAGCCACCAACAGTTGTTGTGGTTTCTAACGTTTTGTCCTCCCAGTTCCCTCTCTTTTTTTTTTCTCCCCCCCGTTCATATTCCTTCTGAAAATCCACTTCTCCCCCTTCCCAGAGTCCCAGTGATCTCTGGACAGCCCTTTCTTATTTGAGCTGTTGACCCATGTTTTATCTTGTCTGCATGATATTTTAATCTTTCTGTGGATCATGCCTGTTCTAGTATGTTTTATAGAGAACCAGAGCTATAAAATGCTTAATACTCAACACTTTGTATAGTGTGTTTTAAGTTCATCAAGTTTTTCAGACAAGGAAACGAGCACAGGAAGCTTAAATGACTTGTTTGAAATTACACAGAAAATTTTGGTAATATAGGTTGAACCTCTCTTAACTGGGACTCTCTGGTCTGGCAACATCCATGGTCCAGAGTGGTCTGGTGGAGGGCTGAGGGCTGCTGGCCAGGGATCCTGCGGGCTGGGAAACCCAGTGTGTGGCAATGGTGCTGGCAGCAGGGAAGGGGGGAGCTGGCCTCTGGCTCGTAGCAAAACCAGGGCCTTGGAGGGGCTGGTGGCAATGGGGAACAGGAAGACCTCCCCTAGTTCAGCAGAATTCCTCATCTGGGACCAGTCATGTCCTAAGGGTGCCAGACGAGGGAGGTCCATCCTGTAGAGATGAGAGAACACCACCGCTGGCTTAGCTAAGGCCAGGTTTACACTACAGACCTAGATTGGTATAAGTATGTCATGTGGGGGTATGAAAAGTCCACACCCCACAACAAAATAGCTATACCAGCCTACCCCTCTGTGTAGACAACACTGTGTTGAAGGGAAGTCATAGCTCATTGATACAGCTACATCTTGGGAAGGTGGATTATTTATGCTGATGGAAGACTCCCTTCTGTCAGTGTAGGAGCACCTTCGCTTAAGTGCTACAGTGATACAGCTACTTTTAAGCATGGACCTGCTTTGTCCCATAATCTGACTACTGGGCCATGCTCCCTTTCTTTATTCCATAAAGTATTGTACTACAGATCAGCATCTTTCACAATTCTTAATGTCTAGGTTATAGGGATATGAAAGGTTAATTGGTAAGCACCACCCTTAAGAGGTTTATGCCACAGTCCTATATTCATAACCCCACCTTGGAGAGAGGGCTCCTCCAGCCTTGTGGGGCCTGCTGCAGACAGGGGCTGCTCTGGCTGTCCCGAGCAGCCCTTTTCCTGGGCATGTCGCAGGTAGTGGCTGCTCTCAGCATCCAGAGCAGTGCCTGCCTGTGGTGGTGGGCCACTCCAGCCTGGCTGCGGTGTGGGTGGGCTGAGCTGGGCTGGTGCAGCACCCCTTAATTGGTTAACTGGTTAATGGGTTAACTAGTTAAAGGGACTTCACATTTGACTGGTTAACCAGTTACATGGGATTTTTACATCCTTATTGGGCTACACTGTTAAGTCTTGCAGCATATATGCAAATTAGTGTGCCATCTACGCTGGCTTTGACCAGTTGCTTTGTCTCTGAAGCAGTGTGCAGACCACAGTTTCTGTGCTTCTGCCTTTCATCTGTCTAAAGGGTGTGTGTGGTTTTTAAAAAAATATTTTTAATACTAATTTTGGGGTAATGGGGAGCTGTGTTTTCCCTGCCCCTAGCACTCCTCCCTGCTCTAATCTTCTGGATTAGTTATTGGTCGTGGATTGGGACCCACCCAGATCCTGTGCTCCAGTGCTTGTTTGCTGGCTATATTCACTTTTTAAGTTATGGCAGAGCGGTCTAAAAAGCACTAAATGAAATCCAAATAGTGCTCCACCTGTAAGGTGCCCTGCCAGGCTCAGCAGGCAACAAGTTATTTCCAGTCTGCACTCTGCCTTCTGTCCCTAACTCTGTTGGATTCTGGGGCTGAGCTGGACTGGACCATGGGATTCTTGATCCACCAGAGTAGCTGTGATTCCAACATGGGGAAAATGGACCAGGTATCTCTGGGCAGAGCTGGGAGAGGCTCCAAAGAGAAGGACCACAGTGAGCTGAGCCCAGAGGTAAGAACCAAGAGGCTGTTGGAAAACCAAAGGGAGACTTACGGGGTCATAAGTACTCCTCTCCATAAGTCTTAAACTGGATTCTCAGTGTCTTAGAAAAAGGAGAGGGCACATAAGAATCCCTCCTTCCCAATTTGTCAAGGAGGACTTGGGAAGTATTTCCCTTCTATCCTTCTTGAGGGAATGGGACCCAGCAAGCAAGGCATTAAAAGATTTTACAAGAAGACTTCAGGCCTTTGGGAAGGAAGGCTGCAAAAGGCCTCACCAAAGCTGTACTGGTGCTCTTATATTCTCTTAGTTTTTTTTATTTTTTTTAAAACCTTTTTTTTGCCAGCTAAGAAGGGAAGAAAAATCATAAAAGATCTAAGTGGTATGAGTCCTTTGTCCTTTGACTCTTCTCCCCTTCCTCCACAGAAGGTTGTAAATTGTTTGGCTCTGACTCTGATCAGAAGTGGGGAAAGAAGCCACAAAGGTGTTTTTCCCCCTGCTTTGAGAATTTCAAGGCCATTTGCAACAAGTGTATCTACTAATAAGATTGAGTCTGAACAGACTCCAGAGAGTAAGCGTCAGAGCAAATGTCTCCTCTCAAAGTCCTCCCCTAATCCTATCATTCCCCTATGCCCCTCCTTCAAGGAAAAACAAAACAATCCAGGTTGAACGGATAAACTAGAGAGAGACAAGCACTTTAACAAAAATGTTTTTAGGTTCTATACGTTCTAGAAACCAATGGATCTGTTTACTGAGATACTGAAGATTGACAGAATCTCTAGCAGAGGATATAGGTATCCTCTCAAAAAGGAAATTCCATCCTAAAGACCGAACAGAATACAAAAGTGGAGCAATTTCTCTAAAAAGGCTTTGAGCCCTCCTCAACTTTCCTCCAGGTTTTCCTAGCAATTCCTTGCTTTTTGAGGGCATCTCGCTCTCCTTCCTGGAAAATCGGAGTCCTTGTGGGTAAATGATGCCCAAATTTTGCCTTCACATAGAAGGAAGTTTCCTTGGCAACAGCATTTGTTGCTAATATCTTACTGGACACCTTGAGATTCTAAGCCAAAGCCATGGCTGCCAGCTCATTGACCAGGCAGGATCTTTGTTTCTGTCCACAGATGGTGAATAGCCAAACCAAGCAAGTGCTGTGCTCTGCCACATTTTACAGTGGCCCTGCTTTTCAGAGAGAAGCTGGACAACATAATGATGGACAGTGTTGCAAAATCTAAATAGTTTGTCCCAATGCCACATTACACCTTTGAGAGAAACTATAGACCAGTCTTCAGACAAAGGTGCTGCTTTTGGCCTTCATCCTTGGGGAAATATTAGCAAAAGGACATCAGGTTTTTCAGATGAAATTCCACTGGAATTTGCATATCTTTTGAGCTCGCTTTCAAAAGCGGCACTTTTGAAAGTGAAAGTAATTAAGATGCGGTTTTGTCGGTGAATGCTCCTGTTTGTTGACAAGCTGCTTTTCCTTAAAAAATGAGGTTTACGTGGCCTGTCAACAAATGGGAGGGTTCGCCAACAAAACCGTGTCTTAATTACTTTCACTTTCGAAAGTGAGCTCAAAAGAAGATATGCAAATTCCACTGGAATTTGCATATTCTCTTTTGAAAGTCTAGCGTAGTCTAGATACGCCCTTATAGCCTCCGTTTGACAGACTGCATTAACCCTGCTTGGAGCTGAGGCTGAAGTTGAAGCTGGGGGGGACAATTTTCCATGGACCTGGGAGATCATTACTTGAGGGATCATCTCTTATTAACTGATTCCACCTCTTCCATTCTTCATCCAGACTCCTATTTTGAATTATAGTAGCTTTCACTGTGGTTTGGCAAGCACTGTGTGTGTGTGTGTGTGTGTGTATACACACACACACACACACACACAGTGCTTGCCAAACCACAGTGAAAGCTACTCACTAGCCCCACACTGTGCATGCACCAAACTGGCACTGCGCATGTGTGCAGTGCCAGTGAATGGGGCGCATGGAGCGACCGGCTGAAATCTACTTGCCATGGGCGAGTAGAATCAGCGGTTTGTCGAGTGTGTGTGTGTGTGTGTGTATCCACACACACACACACACTCTTCTGCATATGGAAGTAATAGAGAGTGTCCCTCCGAAGAAAAAATGGGAAGGTTCTGCTCCATCTTCATCATTTGGAAGTGAACACGGGGGAATCCAACAATTATAGATCACAAAAGGCTCAACAAATGGATGGAAAAAATGAAGAAAGCTCTATGGAGTCTTCCTTGTCCCTGGGGGCTTCATAACTTCTTTGGGTTTGTGGAGGCATATCTCAACATAGTTATTAGACCTTGCCATTACAGATTTCTGAGGTTTTGCTTGTGGCGTGAAGCATTGTTAGTACTGGGCACTCCAGTTTGGCTTGTCCTCAGCCCTATGGGTCTTTACAAAGATGGTGTAGTCATTGTAGTCAGATATAGGTTACTGGGGATCCACCTTTTAAACTTCTCCCCCTCCCCCCCACCGATGATATCTTTTAATCAAAGCTCTATCCTCAGCAACAGCACACAGAGCTACGTCCCTAATGTTGAATTTCCTGCAGGTGCATGATTTTATTATCAATATCAAGGAAAGCTCCTTGGTTCCATTCACCAAAATAACTTGCTTAGGAGTGGATACAGATATATTGATCTCTAGAAATGGATATATTCTTGCTAAGTTTAAGAAGATTCAAGACTTCCTCAAATAGTTTTGGAACCGCAAGAGGCTTGAAATTGAAACCTCTAACCTTTTAACCACTAGACCTTCAAATATCATGGCTGGGGATTCACATCAGGCTCCTTCAGGGCTTCATTTTAACAACATGGAGTTTTTCCTCTAAAACTCTTGAAGGATCAAGGTGATCAGTATCTTTAAAATGGCAATCAGCCTACATGACTTTCGGATAGTAACAGTTGTGACAAGCCTGGAGGGCTGGGAAGCACATCAGGGTTCCAAAACTGGCATCTACTAGCTGGAGGAAAGGACTAATATTATAAACTATCTAGAATTAAGAGCAATTAAGCTGATTGTAGAAAGGTTCCAGCCCAGGCTAGAGGGGGAAGCACATTCTGATTCTGCCAAACAGTATTACCATGGCTGCAAATGTGAACAACCAACTGGAAAAAGAAGCCCTATACTACACATCTAAGTGATGGGAATCATGTTCTGAATAGAACATTCTCCTCTGTCCCTCTGGACTGCTCACATTAAGAGAGAGCTGAAACAAAAGACCAACTTTCTCTGAGTAGCCAAGATAAACAACCCCGAGTGCTGCTTGCATCAGGAAAACTGAGTTAATTGTGCAGCCATTTGGCTTGCCCTGAACCAAACTGTTCACAAATCATTTGAATGTGTAGAGCTACAGTAATTCAGCAGGGGAGTGGACAACAGATCCATGGGGAGAGATACTCTATCACACTGATAGTCCTCCTCTTGACACTTAGTCTTCCTATTATTAGGGAGATTCAAAAGATTAAACTAATCAGGTGATAGTAATATTGGTAACTCTGCATTGGCCAATGACAGCTTGATTTTTGTACTTAATCGAGCTGAAATAGGACCTCTTGTACCAATCCCGAAGAGACAGATCATACTCTTACAATCTCCTTTTCTTCAACAGGATCAGAACCAGCTTCATTTAATAGCCTGTCTATTGAAAGGGAAAGACTAGTATTGTTAGGTTTGTTCTCCAAAGTTATTGGAACATATTTGTGGAAAGTATTAACCTTGGATATATACTCCTTTATTTGGACCAAGTTCTGTGCTGGTGTTGGGAACCCAAAGCAAATCCTAGAAATCCATGAATTCTGACTATCTTGAAACTTCTTCAAGAAGGCTCGGACAGCGTTTTCAACCTAGCACCATTACATGTCAGGTGTCCTCTCTTTGTAGCAGGATGATCATGGGATCTGCAAGTTCTCTGGAAGGCATTGTTTCATTAGGACAGTCTGATAAGCCAAATGAGCTGTCAGGCCTGTCTTTCCAAAGTGGGACCAGCCACTTGTACTGAGACCCCTGGTGAACCACCTCTTTGAGCCGCTCACATCAATGTCTTGGTTTCTGATGGCCGTCACATCTCCTAGGTAAGCTTTGAAGTTGTCAATGCTTCCTATGCAGGAATGTGGGTTTTTTTTTTTTTTTTTTTTTTTTTTTTTTAAGGACAAGTTGGTGCTCAGCTCTAGAATTGTGTATCCTCTTTCCTCCATGCTTCTCAAGAGGAGGGTCTCCCTTCTTTCTGTCCCAGGCCACCAAGGATGTGCTTTAGGCATGAGAAGGGCCTGAAAAGTTTAACTCAAATGTAGAAAGTCCATTTGGAGGTTAGGTGCCCTTTTAGTATTCTCCATTGGAAATGCCAAGGATCTAGAGCTTCCAAGTCATCTGAATTAGACTATGTATTGAAGAAGCACACAAGATATTGGAGATTCTGGTTCCTTAAGGGATCAGGACATGCTCCACGTGATCCCTGATCTGATGACCTTGTATGCATACATTTCTTCTGCCCACACAGTGGAAACATGTAAGGTTGGCCACCTTTATCAAGCACTATGAAGATTTCCTGTCTTCAGAGGCACCTTATGGTTGGAAGGCAGTGCTGAGAAATGATTTTTCCTTTTTGAACAAATGTTATAAATGAGATGGGATACTGCTTTCCTCTTCATTCCACCTTCTTTGTAATCTTCCTTATGTTTGTTCCTTGTTCTCTGCTTCCCCAGTATAAAAAACTGTGGAAGATGTTGGGTTGTAGAATGAACACACTTTTACAGATGGTTTCTTTTATGCATCTTCCATAATTTTTCCATCCCTAACTAGCATAAGAGCTGAAAGGCCAGATGCTGAGTGGGATCTTTATGTTGTGACTTTTTCTGTTGTGGTCCAATTGATCTTAGTTGGTCAGTTGCCTCTGAAATGTTTATTACTGATATTATTATACAAGTTTTTATAGTTTTGGAATAACTCCTCTGGCCACAAGTAGAAGCAGAAGAGGCATGGCCAGAGGGTGGCACCAAAATGCTAATCTGTCTGCATACGTTGCAAAAATGCCCAGAGCAGCTCAAATGTAAAGAATTGTGAAAGATGCTTCTAGGAAAAAGTAATGTATTGGTAAAACAGTTTCCCAGTTCTTTGATGTTACATTATGATAAAAGAGCTCTAAGATCTTTGAGCTTTTAAAAAAAAGAGAGTGTACCCTGAAGGTGTCAATAACCTTTAAAAGTGAAAACTTTACTTAAAACTGTTTTAATTTCACCTTATGTCCATGGGTATTATTATAGGCTTATTTATATATTCAGATGACTGTAAGTTTTAAAAAATACATATTATATCTTTATCTAGGAATACCTTGTTTGAGTGTAAGAAACCATGTTGTGCTATTAACATTTTAATAGTGTTTCCTGCCCTCCCGTGCATATATTTAAGCGTACAAGATAGATAGATGTGGCAGGAGTGGAACAATTTAATAATCTGTAAATAGAAGCGCTGTGATTTTAAAATGATAGTTTTCTTCCAAAAAAATAAAAAATCATTTTGAAATATCGTTACAACATTGTACATTACATCTGAGCTGTTTGTTTTTGGATAAGACTAGAATTTTATTTAGTATTCTAAGATAAGTAATGTCTTTAGATGAAACTTGGCCTGTTAAGTGGATGCAGCACATTACAGTAAGTGGTGATGTGATGACTTCTATACCAAAGCTATTAAAATATTTACTTAAACAAACTTGAAAAGTTTTAAAGAATCCCTCTTGGTAAAATTCTGTCATAAGTGCTTGATTTTTAAGGAGCAAGAGTATGGGTTTCTAACTATCTCCAAGATGGTTCTTGGGCTGGTTGCATCAGGGCTTTGCTAAGAGAAGTTATCCTCTTTCACCACAAGTATGATTTGATAGGATAAGAATTGAAGAGAAAATAGTTTGGATTTCTTTAAAGCCAGATTTTTTTTAAAAATCTTACTCTGGACATTTGAATGTGTTCAGGTGTATATTTTAGGTAAAAGAAAATGCGCATATTGTAAATAGAGAAAATCTCTAGTGTAGAGGGGATATTCTGCCTTTTATGCATGGAACTTGCATTAACACTAGTTATTAAGAGTTATTTCTGTGTAAATAGGACTAATTGAGATATATGAAGAGGTGATTTATATTACAAATAAAATATTTTTTTTCTTTTCCTTAATACATTTGAAGTTTGTGTCATAATTTTTAGCAGTTACCAAATCAAGGGGATGCATATGGGTACTATTTGTTCCAAATTCCTGGCTTCAAAGCCTGGGATAGCAAATAAGTGCCCATGCCCCTCACACCGAGACCCCGCAGTACCATCTCGGCCCAGCAACTATGTCAATCGGATTAACTTTTGCATTTGGAGCCATTAGTTTCTTGATTCTTTAATTTGGACGTTAGTTGAAGAGAGGGTTAAGATGATGGAGAAATGAACTGCACAAATTCTGTAAAATAGATCCAGGAATATTACCACAGCTGTTGGGCAGCTGACTTTGATAGATGTGTGGCAAGGTGACTGTGGGATCACTCCCCTGAAGATCCTCACATTTTGGAGGGGACATCTGTCTTCTGAGATAATGGTCTAACAAATTCTGTATAAATTTGTTGTTTTTTATTTATTTATTGGGCAACCTTAGAACACAGGATTTTCCCCATTTCTCTGCATTTTACTTCCACTATTCTCCAGAGCCCCAAATTAGTTTTTCTTCTTTCAGTGGAGGGAGGGAAGGAAGTGGAGTTATTCAATGATGTGCAGATTATTGTATGGAAACAAAGTGTACATTCTTAGGTATTTTTGTATTAAAAATTATTCTTTTTCTGGACTAACTTTAAAATATTGCTTCCACTGCCAAAATGGAAGTTTTAGCTCTTGTTTACAGAGGGATATGCTTTAATTGTACATACAGAACCATTACAAGTTAGATGAAGAGGTCGCCTAAGCATGGAGTCAAAATATATTTCATTATCATGAAGTTGCCAATTATTTCTGAAGAACAGAGCCCACACATTAGGATTTTAAAAAACTATATTGTGCAAGTTGTTAAACTCGCACCTTGTTGGAAAATGAAGTATTTCTGAAGTGGAAGCCTATTTAAAAGTCATTTTATATTTACAGAGAATCAGGCATACAAATGTTTGTTTTTAAAAGTGTACACTGCTGTAAGGCTATTTATTTTTTAGAAAATATGACGTACATTAATATCTTTTTGACAAATATACACGATATTACTCTAACAAACTGCCATGCAACATGTATATTAATGAAGAAATTGAATATACAAGTCCTAGTCTATATAACATATATATTGAAAATGTACAGTCTAGCCAATATTTTAAAAGTTTCCCTTATTTGGCAGTATTTTCTACAGTTTGTTCATGTATTTCCTCTTGGATAATTTGGTGAATACTGAAATCTAGTCAGTGACAACCTGAGGTACTAAACATTTCTGCCTTACTTCATTATCTTCAAAAGTAATCTGTTTGTTCCTTTTAGGCTCTATCCATGAGTTATGTATTACAGCATTATTCGGCATAGGATCTGCTTCCACTATTGAAACGACTCGTTTTTTCATTTTACTTTTCAGGACCTTCTGAAATTTTTGCCTAGTGAATGCATAAAGTAGAGGGTGAAATATGGTTGTTCCATATGCCATAACGAGAAAACACAATCTCAGCTTTACCAAAAGGTCACTTGGGCCCAAACATAAAATTGTAGTGTTTAAAACAGAAATGGGTGTCCAGCAGAGAAGAAATGTTGAAATAATTAAAAGGGACATTCTGAAGACTCTCTTTTGTCTTTCCCGTCGTTCCCGGTGTCGCTTTACAGCTCGCCGTAGGGCAATTATTACTGAAACTGAAGTCCTTACACCAAAGACTACATTCCTCCCGCCACTGCTGTGTGACACATCAGTAGTCTCATGCTGTGTAGTCAAAGAAATAGTCTTTTTCTTTCTTGCTTTTTTCTTTTGCCCTGTTGTAAATCTTGTTCCTATTCGAATATTAAGAGCCTGGAGTATTTTGGTGTATGTAATTAGCATTACGATAACAGTGAAGAAAAAAATTGGAATCTGTACTAGGAGATGGTAGTACATTCCCAGTTCAGTGTGATACTCATTTACACTGACACACAAAAGTGTCTTATTTTCCCAAGTACTTGCACTTTGAAGACTGAAAAAATTAACTTCAATGAAGGGAATCAGGAAGGAAAAAAGAGAGACAATCCATATCGATGTCATTAACATCACAGCCCTTCCCAATGTCAGAATTCTATTTGCAGGTTTTACAGAGATATCATATCGGTCCAAAGTGATAGCAAAAACGTTGATTGCTGTCGAAACACTTGCAAAAGAAACACAAGCCTCATGGAAACAGCAAATTAGAGCACTGTTACTCTCCAGTGAAAGCAGAAGGATAACTATAGTTAGAGGAATACATCCCACACAAATTATTACATCAAGTACATGAAGGTTCATTGTAATAATGTTACTGACAGAATTGATTAAGTTGGATTTCATGCAGTAAAGTACCAACACGGTGAGGTTGCTGCCAAGTCCCAACACAATTTCTAACATCAGAAATCCAGTGAGAGAAACTTGAAAGCTTAATGGATATGACAGTGCTTGGTACATATTGGTGTTGATGTCATCAGTGGCATCTCGAACAGTAATGTTAGATTCAGACTGCATGTTGACTTCCAGAATGGGAGAGAAACACATTCTTTTGTAGCAGTTGTTTTTGTCCTAAAAGGTGAGAGAAAATATAAAACTATTTGATTCTGACACTTTTTGAAAAACATTTTAGATATAATGAATTACCTGTTGTATTATATTTATCAAAATGCAATATATATTTAGATCTGTGCATGATTTGGGCTGAAGAATCTGAGGATCTAGAACAACATCAACCAAATACGATTGTTAAAAAGCACCCAAAATTTTGTTAAAAGCCGTTGTTTAGAGACAAGGCCTTGTTTGTGGTGGGTCTCTTACAAAGGACACATGGTAGGACAAGCTACACTAGTACATTGCGTTTTAGCCTGTCTAAAGCCATTTGAAAAGAAAGTCCATATGAATTTAGAGCTTATTACAGAAAGCAATGTCAAAATTTTTTTTTAAGGAAAAACAAGGTCAGAAAAGTGAAGGGGAGTTGCTTGTAAACCATACCTCTTAATAGATCTTTCCTTCTCTAGGTTAGTCTTTCTTTTTTAAAAAACTTTTTTTGTAAAAATGTGATTGACAGAAGATTTGCAGTTCCAAAATTAATTGAATTTTTATAAAACTTTAAAAAGTTTACCCATTAAACTCTTACCCATTATATGTACACAATTTGGAATGTGCTACATTTGCATATTATATGTGCATGTATATTTTAAGTGAATAATAATGTTATGTAATTTCAACTGTAAAATTATAGACAAATAATTTAAATGTAATGAAGTAGATTTTCAGAATATTGCATTTCCATATGCTGATTTGAATATTTACTTCAGGAAATATACTTCATCAATTTGGCTAATAGTTAAAATATTCTCCCTTTGATTTATCGACTTGTGTGTATCCAAGAGTATTTAATAATATTTATATTTGTTATTTAATTAGATGATGGAATTAAGGAAACAGCCACATCAGGATTGTATTTTTTTTATCATGAAATGAAAGTTTCTCTGCTTTATGATGCAGTGAGGCTCAGTGATGTAGCATTATTCACTGCTATATGATATATTTTTTTAATCTTATGGCCACACTTTGTGTGGTTCACAAATGCTAATAAATTGAAATTTAGTATCTGCTTATTAGGCCTGACAGGTATCATATCTGCAGTCCCAAGAACTGAAGTCATAATAGTGCAGTACTGTACTGTTAATTGAAAACTTATTATGATGAAGGTTTTTTGTATGTGTCAAGAGTTACTTTACATGCCCTCTTTAAAAACAAAAAAATTTGAGCCTCAGGTGTGCAGAGAATCATGAAATATTTCAAAAGCTTTTTCAACTTCCACTGTATGCAACCCCAAGAAAGTTTATATATTGCTTTAAGACTGTACTGTTTCCTCTGTGTATGTGGTCTTGTGTAGCGATGAATGTATAATGGAAACCATTCAAATGTATTATTTGATAAATTGAATTCCCTTGAACTGGTAGAAGCCAGAAGAAGATTAGAGTCACATCTACTAAAACAAGCAATGGTCTGAATTGTAAAAATAAGCTAACTGAAATCTTGTGAAAATGGAAAATTTTAAATGTGCCAGATTTTACTAAAAAACAGAGTAAGCATCAGGTTTTTGTCACATCAGATGGATTTGCAGTTAAATAAATGCAGAAATGTCAAGATAGGGAGATAATTAACAAAATACATCTCCTCAAGAACAGTGATCTGTTCCCTTGTAAATGTCAAACAGAGGTTGGGTGCATGCAGCTTCTGACCTACCTGTTTTTTTTTTTGTTGCCTCAAGGGCCTTTCAGCTCACTGTAGCAGCTTGTCATAAATTGATACATGGTGTCTCTTACATAATTTTGACATGTATTTCACCCGGCAGCTGAGTTGTAGCTGGGGTTCTATTTCATCACTTGCAGAATATTTCCATTTTTTTTTTTGGTCCAGAACATCAGCAGCAAGATTTTTGTGACTGAATAAAAGGATTTGATTTCCTGAAATATTTTTACATACCAGTGCATGTTGTTTGTTTTTCCCCTACTTTTTAAAGCCACCAATAAAAGGAAAACTTCTTTTGAGTGACATTAAATTCTTTCCCCCTTTGCATCTCATGGCAGCATATTTTTATTTTCCAAGCTAAATTAAAATAAAAACAGACACATCCGATTTCTGGCTTCAAAAATATATTTAGGCATCCTTTTGTTACAATTGCACATTTGGTTTTATAGTACTTCTCATTACTTTAGAGTGATGGCTTTTTGACATAAGTTGCTTTACATTGTAACATCCAGTTCATGTGCTTTGATGGAAACCATGGACTACCAGTTCTTAATTTGGCTTATTTTCACTAAAGGAGAATACATAAAAGATCATAAAATCAGAGGAAAAATCCATTAGTCATGACAAATAAGTGACTTAATAGGAAGTGTAGAAAAAGCTTGATTAAAGCCTTGTTTAGCTTGCTGATGAAGTATGCACATTCTCCTTTTGGGAATTCATGTTTCATTGTTTCTTCATGAATCCGTAGTTTCCACAAATCTGGTTTTAAATTATAAATCCCTTTTTAAGATATGCTCACCATTTTATTTTAGGAGTAAACCATTACATTAATCTTCTTTTCATGAAAATATGAGCAGAGTTGCTAATCTTCTATGTATATTGTTGAAGTGTTAAACACTTACGTAGAAATATGACTTTTTCCATGGTTTTTATTCTGTCCTTTATTTCTTAAAACTATATATCAGAAGTACATCCTGCAGCTCGTAGGTCAGACAGCTAGAAAGATGCCCCATCAATTGCATTCTTCATATTGTCAGTAGTAAAACTGAATTAGATGCTGTATGCCCTTGCAAGGAAAAGAAGGAAAAAGAGGTTAAAAATAGGGCTGCTTCTAACAATTTTAAGTTATTCTGGAATATATTTATAGTTTCATTTTATTAAAATTATGCAGTATGTGCAAAATCAAAATGGATCTCTAAAATTGACTCCTATAGAAGATATATAAACCAGTGATATTTTTAATATTTCCTAATAAAATGCTTCCCTCTTTTTTCACCTTATTAAAATTCAGTGTATTAGATGGGTTCTGTATTTTGCAAATATTAAATGCAGAATTAAAAGCCAAGAACTGAAATAAAAATTACTGAGCAAAAACATAGTATCTATAAATGCCACTAGAAAATATATTTTATGGCTCTTGTGAGCAATTAGCTTACATATACTGTGTCCTCTTGGCTTCGTATGACTAATTTAACTGAGCCTCAATTACTTCATAGGAAATACATTTGTTTAATTTGCGCATGGCTTTGTATTTCCTTGCACTGAATGTAAAAGGTTATGCAAATTAATTTTTACAAGTACATTTCCATTGGGTGAAGTATCTAGATTATTTCAGTGTTTTTAGAGTAATACAGAAAGTAGCTGCAAAAACTAACATTTTTTTTTCATGAATAAGTCAGATGTTAGTCATGTAATCCATCCTTTGAAAATCAGTAAGTATACAAGCAAATGCAGACTATGTATGATCCTTCACGGAGTGCTTGAATACATTCATAACATATGTAACTCAATATTGGAAATGGTGGTGAGAAAAATCTTGTCATTGCATTAAGGATTGTAAGCAGTACTGTTATAGCTTAAGCTGAACTGTTTTTATACCTTACAAACAAAACAATTCTTAATATCCCATGATGAATCCTTAGAAAATAACATTTTTCAACAATTGTACTTTTTAAATGGAAAAAAAAATAGTATTGTCTAGCAAGAATATAGAAGATAAAAGCTTTCAAATTAAGTTTAACCTGGCATTATTTTTCCTTTGGATATGTTTTGTTAAACGCTGCTTATACTGTATACCAGAATAAGGAACATATCTTACCTCCACTAAGAATTTGATCAGTTCTCGATGCAGATGAATCAGTTCCAGATTTGAGGGATTCATTTTGTTCACTTGTTAGCAGAGTACAGGGGAAAGAGGGTCATAAGCATCTCTTCAAAAAATGACCTTAATGAAAATTTGTGCCTGTGCTGTGCCATTGTTTCAGCATACTGCTAATGTATACAACATGTAGTGCTGCTTTAGAGGCTGCTGCAATCTCCCACTCATCCTATTGTAGAATCAATAAGCATCTGAAAATACATAATGAAAGTAATTTAACATAGTAAAGGCTTCTTGTTTCCAGAGACATTTAGATTCATCCTTTCTGAAAAGGATCAGCAGTACTTCTCAGAGGAAAGCTTACTATGGACAGACAGCTTTTGCAGAATGACAGCCTACCTTGTCGCTTCTCTTCACTGCAGAGAGATGCAGTGCATTCACTAATTTTGATTGGTCAGTGATGTTTGGCTTAAACTGTGCTTCATATATATGGGAATGATTTTTTTTGGTGTGTTTTATATAAGGATCCTTTTGTAAAAAGGCTAAATTTACAAATGAATTGTGCATTATTCTGGAATATTAGGATATACCAGTTTTATTTTTAACATTTCACTCTACTTTTTTTGATTGTATGCTGTACCACATGAGAAAACACTGATGGAAAATTAAATGAAATGAATACTACTTTAAAAGCCTCTAGCAATTTGTTTGAATATATCTTATCTATCCTTTCTCTGAGGTTCTTTGTTGTGAGCCTACCTTGAATACTAAACTGCTGCATCTTTTCTGTGAACCATATTTAACCAGTATGTTTATATGCAGGTCAGCATTTAGATCTTTATATCTGAATAAATTATATTCCGTATAAGTAGATACCACAAAAATGTAATGAGAATCTGAATTAGAATGTTATGGAATATTCATATTTCTTATTAAGAGGGGGGTATTAATCCAGATTAGATCATAATCTAAAGTGATTTTTCCCATTACCATGTTCAGTGCATTCACAGTTGTGCAGCTTGACAACATAAATTAAATGAAGGGAAACACTAACCTGTTTAACTATTTTTTCTAAAGATACCATGTGTATTTTGTTTCTTGTACTCTATGCTCTTTCTACCTCTGTTCTTGAGCCTTTGACTTTCTGGGATTTGGTTTTATGTAGTTTTTAAATGTTTAGTTGTATAACCTAGTTCCTTCTCTTAATAAATTAGGACAAATTCTAAAACTTAATTTAGGATGTGAATTAAAGCTATTCAGCCCAAAATAATATTCATTGGATATAGTGTTGTGGTAACAAAAATTGCTAAATTATTTCTTAATTTAAAAATAATGTAGTGCTACTAATATTCCACATGAAAATGTTTTTGAATAAATCTTGAAGTCGGTTGTAATTCTTGAAAAAGTTGAAAACTTATCATATATTAAAATATAGCTTTTGCATATAAATATTATCCATTTAGCGATTTGATTTGTATTGATTTTTGTAAAATGACTAATATTGTGTACATACATGCTTTTTGTGTAATTCAGATGTTTGCATTTAATTTTGTTTCAGATTAGCATCAGTGGTATTTATTTATTTTCATATAATATAGACTAGAATGCAATTTTCTCATTTTTTTCCCAAGTGGCAATGTCTGTGTCGCTTCAGGTAACTTGCCACTCTTTCACGTTTTTCCTCTGGGCAAGATCATTCAGAAACTGTTGAGGTGGACAAAGATCACAGTGGGTTTCTGTGACCTTATCCTAGCTCTCTCTGGCTTCTCTGGGCCTTGTTGACCATGAAAGTTTGATTACAACTTCTGAGAGCATTGATCTTGAGTAGTCACACATGACAACACATTCTTGGAGCAGATGAATACATAAAAATACGTGCAAGAGCTGTACTTGCTCCACTTAAAGTAGAGTTTAGGTTGTGTCAGGGGCCTGTTATTGAGCTGAATAGATGAATTCCAATAAATACTCCAATTGCACATCTTTTTCCAGCCTCTCCTGGAAGAGAGTTAAGATGTTGAGGGGATGGAGGAGCTTTAGCTGTAGGAATAGGAAAAAAAGATGGATTTTAGTTATGGAGGCAGAAATAATAGGATTTTGATGTAGCCTGAATGTGTGAGGCAGAGGGTGAGTAGGAGTCAAGCATGACCCACAGGTTGTAGACCTAAGTTGGAGTATGTTGCAGTTTGTGACAGAGCTTTGGAATAGTAGAGAGAGGTTGGATGAGAAGATAAATAATTCAGTTTGGATCTCATTACGCTTAAATTTGCTGCAGAGAGAGCTGGAAGGAGTATTAGTATTGTATGGAGACAAGTCAGGTAGTGTGTGAATGGAGAGATTTACAAGCTATTAATATGGAAATGGTAATTGACATTGTGTGAGTCCACTTGAAAAAGTGTAAAACAGAAGGAGAGAAAGCAAAAAAGTGTCCTGTGGGGAATAAAACTTCACAATTTACTTCCTTTACTAGTCAAAAACAAACAAACAAACAAAAAACACCCCCCCAAACTAGTCATTATTATAGATAGAGTTGGCAGTGCTGGATATAGATAGGTTGCCTCATGTTTTCCATTATAAGAATCTTTTTTAATTTCTTATCGCTTTATCAAACTATGAATTTGGGCCAAATTTCCTATACTGGGTGTCTGTCTTAGGAGTAATTTTTTGGAAAATTTTTCAATTAAAATGGCTTAGCCATTTGTAGGAATGGAATTAGAGAAAAATAAAATGTTTCACCACATTGTAATATCTGTTCACTGGGGAACAAAGGCTTGAAATTTGGCAGTGTGTGGGGTAGAGACAGTGCTTGTGCTTGAGTCAGGGATGTGATTTTTGTTCTCTGCATGAAAATTCATATAAATTGGACAAAATTATGTAAACATTTTCTCATGTGATAAGTATATGATTGTCAAGGTTGATAGCTAAATTTTCTGAAGATGCTATTTGCACTAATCATACTCCCTTCAGGGGCTGCAGAGACTTTCCCTGAAGGTGTTCCTTCTGTCTGCCAGAGGCTGCTGTCATACTGGCACAGAGTCTGTTTTTCCTGTGCTCTGTTACAGTACAGTAGTCCCTCTTTCTTGTTCAGGTGCACAGGTAATATGGAGGAGGAGGTGGAGATATCCTGACTTCTATATGAAGAAAGTGAGATGTTGGTTTCTGTACAGATATTAGAGGTTAGAGGGAAGGGAAGGGGTGACAATGGAGTGACAGAAGCCAATGGGAGGGAATAGACTGGATGTTTTATAGGAGCAGAGAAGGAGAAGGGGTAGAAGTCAGACATGGGGGGAGGGATGTGTACATGCAGAAGGGAAGGAAAAATAGTAATTAGAGTGGAGTGGAGGGAAATTAGAGGTATGAAGGGAGGCCAGAAGTAGCAGGATCTGTAACTAACACATTTATTTACAATACTAGAAATTGAACACACGAGTCCTCTCAGTGTAGACAGGCACCTTAATTTTTTGTGCAAGAAAGCCCGCTGGCTAAAATGGCCATCGGAGCTTTCTTGCGCAAGAAAGCATCTACACTGGCATGGATGCTTTTGCGCAAAGGCTCATGCCAGTATAGACGATCTCTTGCGCAAATACTTTAACGCAAAAACTCTTGCGTTAAAAGTATTAGCGCAAGATCATGCCAATGTAGATGTAGCCATAGAGTTAGAAGAGATCCCAGTAGGTCATTGAGTCCAACCCCCTGCTAAAACAGACCATTCCCAATTAAATCATCCCAGCCAAGGCTTTGTCAAGCTAGGACTTAAAAATCTCTAGGCATGGAGATTTCCACCACCTCCTTAGGTAACCCATTCCTGTGCTACTTGAAGGCTGCTCTCAAATCCCCCTTCACTCTTCTATAAAATAAATCCAAATCTCTCATCTCAAAATCATGTGCTCCAGCCCCCCAATAATTTTTGTTTCCCTCCACTGGACTCTCCAGTGTGTCTGCATCCTTTGTATAACGGGGACCCCAGAATTGGACACAGTACTCCTGATGTGACCTCACCAGTGTCAAATAAAGGGTAATAATCACTTCCCTAAATCTGCTGGCAGTGCTCCTACTAATGCATTCCAATATGCTGTTTGCCTTTTTGGCTACAAGGGCACACTGTTGACTCATAGCCAGCTTCTCATCCTCTGTAATCCCCAGGTCCTTTTTGGCAGAAATGCTGCTTAGCCAGTCAGTTCCCAGCCTGTAGCAGTGTATGGAATTCTTCCCTCCCACGTGTAGGATTCTGCACTTGTCCTTGTTGAACCTCATCAGATTTAATTTGGTCCAGTCCTCCAATTTGCTTAGTCACTTTGGACCCTGTCCCTACCCTCCAGCATATGTACTTTTCCCCCTAGCTTAGTGTCATCTGTGAACTTGCTGAGGGTGCAAGCCATCCCTTCATCCAGGTCATTAATAAAGATATTGAACAGAATTAGCCCCAGAACTGACCCTTGGGGCACTCCGCTTGATACCAGTTGTCAACCAGACATTGAGCCATTGATCACTACCTGTTAAGCTTGACAATCTAGCCAACTTTCTATCCACCTTTCAGTCCATTTGTCCAATCCATACTACTTGCTGGAAAGAATACTGTGGGAGACCATATCAAAAGCTTTGTTAAAGTCAAGGTATATCACATCCACCGCCTTTCCCATGTCCATAGAGCCAGTTACCTCATTATAGAAGGCCATTAGGTTGATCAGACATGTCTTGCCCTTGATGAATCCATGTTGACTGTTCCTGATCACTTTCTTCTCTTCTGAATGCTCCAAAATTGATTCTTAGAGGATCCCCTCCATGATTTTTCTGGGAACTGTGGTGAGTGAGGCTGACAGGTCTATAGTTTCCTGGATTTTCTTACTTCCCTTTTTAAAAGTTGGGCACTATGTTTGCCTTTTTCCTAATGTCCGGGACTTCTGATCATCTCTCAAAGATGAGATTGCAGAGCCATTAACTATTATCAGCCAACTCCCTCAGCACCCTTGGATTCATTAGATCTGGTTCCATGGATTTGTGCATGTCCAGCTTTTCTAAATAGTCCTTAACTGGTTCTTTTCCCACTGAGGGCTGCCCACCTCTTTCCCATACTGTGTTGCTTAGTGCGGTTGTCTGGGAGCTGACCTTGTCTGTAAAGGCAAAGGCAAAAAAAGCATTGAGTACTTCAGCTTTTCCCACATCATCTGTCATCCAGAAAGGTCCCCACCCCATCTCTGATCACCCTCTTATTGCTAACATGTCTCTAGAAACATTTGTTACCTTTCACATCCCTTGCTAGCTGTAATTCCAATTACGCTTTGGACTTCCTGGTTACTCATCTGTATGTTTGAGCAATATATATACTCCTCCCTAGTCATCTCTTCAAGTTTCCACTTCTTGTAAGCTTCCTTTGTGTATTTATGCTCATCAGGGATTTCATTGCTAAGCCAAGCTGGTCACCTACCATATTTGCTTTTCTTACAGCATATCGGGATGGTTTGTTCCTGCGCCTTCAACAAGGCTTTTTTAGAATACCACCAGCTCTCCTGGATTCCTTTCCCCCTCATATTAGCATCCCAGAGGATCCTACCCATCAGTTTTCTGAAGGAGTCAGTCTGCTTTTTTTGAAGTCCAGGGTCTGGAGTTTGCTGCTCTTTGGTCAGAATCCTGAATTTACAATCTCATGATTACTGCTGCCCAGGTTGTTCCCCAATCTACTTCCCCTACTAATTCCTCCCTGTTTGTGAGCAGCAGGTCAAATACATCTCTCTGCTGTAAATAAATAGCTTTGAAAACCAGTGGCAAAATGTGGTTCCTATTAGTTGTTGATGCATAGGGAGGCTTACCCTTACACCGATATTTATACTTAATTACAAAAGCCAAGTTACTTAATTGGCAAACACTGTTGCTGGTACTAGTTATTTCATGAGCTCAGGTGGTAGTTTGTGTGCTGTGGAATGATCCAAACTCTGCGGCTGATCTAAGTTGGCATCATGTGAGAATTTCTGGATCTGGTTTCTTTATAAAAAAAACCAAACATTACATTAAAAATACATTCAGAGAGCGTTAGTATTGTAAAGTCAAGCATTCATAATCCTGGGCTTGACAAGCTTGTCAAGTGACTGTCTATTTGACAGTCATAAAATATTATCAAATAGTGCAAGAAGAATGTCCTGGTGTAGGCAGCAGCCTACCTCTTTGATTGGCTCCTGGTGCCATTCTTTCAGGTTTTTAGAACATCATTTTGTGGGTTTTTTTTTTAAATTAAAAATAAAGTAGCTTGGCTTTTGTAATGAAGCATAAGTATCTGTCTAAGGCTAAGCCTGGTGGAAATAAACTCTTACTCTTCCTTGTTACTGTTCTGATAAAGCAGTGCTATATGATTATTTATGTTGATTTTTTTTCTTCAATATTTGACTGGCCAGTTGATCCAAGGGGAGTGGACCAGGGAGGAGTCAGTGGGAGCTAGTGCAACTGCAATGTATTTATGATGGGGTGGACTTATCTGTTTTCACACAAATAATATATCCTCTGTACTTGGAGCGGGAGGGGGGGAGTGAGGCAAAACAGTCTTTCTTCTTTAGCCCTGCCCCCTCAGAGCTGGGGAAGCAGCAGCTGAGCAGAGCTTTGTCATTTTGAGCATTGGGAACAGAAGGAGATTGTTTTCCCTCAAGGGCAGGCAGAAGTGGCTGCTAGTTGTGTAAAAGCAGCATCTGGGGCAGGGAGCAGAGTGCATGTTTTCCTTTGGTGCCTGGTGAGGGGATGCTTTGCTGATGTAGCTGCAGCAATGGCCATTCCACTTTCATAGCCTGCTCTACACCTCCAAGGTTAAGAAGAGACCTGACCCAGAATTCTGGGCATTGTCTGAGTATTCTCTGCACCTTGGGCTGCTTGCTGCATACCCCTAGCCCCAATGGTAGCCCCTGCCCCCCATTCAAGGTAAGTTTACATCACCTCTGAATTAACCAATTATTTTTGGACTGCCTCCTGTCTGTTAAATAGACATCTTAAACTTTCAATTTTGTGAAAGTACTTCCACGCCTCTAATCATTTCCATTGTGTAAAATTGGGGCTTTTTACTACACAAACATTAAAAGTTCCTTTTTGATACTGTTGGTTCTTGGTTCGGTAAAATGGCGGGAGTCCCAGAGGCTTAAGGCCAAATACCCAGTGAAAACACCAAATGATGGCGAGACAACAAGTTTTAACAAAGAAGGAATAATTTATTAAACTGAACAACTTAAAATGAGCAATTACCCAATATTTGCCACCAAACAATTGAACCACAACAATTTTTAAAACTCTATGGGTATGTCTACAACGTTAATTCGAACTAACTTAGTTCGAATTAGTTAATTCGAACTAAGCTAATTCGAACTAACGGATCCAGACTAAAAAACTAGTTCGAATTAGCGTTTTGCTAATTCGAACTAGCATGTCCACATTAAGTGGACCCTGAACCGGGCTTAAGGATGGCCGGAAGCAGTGGCGGCAGGGCATCAGAGAAGAACTTAGAGCAGGGGTGTCCAAACTTTTTTCAAAGAGGGCTGGATTTGATGAAGTGAACGTGCGTGAGGGCCGACCATTTTGCCTGACATTCTTTGAACCATTAAAATTAAATGCAAATTAACTATTTTATGCAAAGTTTATTGCAAACGGCATACTTTTCATTTCGTCACATGGATGACAAATCTAAACAGGTGTTAAATCACGCTGCCTTTCATATCTGAAGGCCAGATGAAAAAAAAAAAATCCAGGAAGCTGAAATATATGTCAGGAACATTGTAAAGTACATTACATATTATTGGTAATAAAGGTTGTCTGTCAACTTTTAAGTTCAAAAAATATGAACAGGAACATAACACCAAGTATACATGTTGTGTCCAAATATATTTATAACTGATTTAGACCAACTGACATTAACTGAGATTTTACAATGTATTCATCTCAATACATATGGATTCGTTGGGGGCCATAAAAGATAGATATTGCCAAATTACCTGCGGGGCCGTATTAAACCGGAACACGGGCCGCAAATGGCCCGCGGGCCGGACTTTGGACATGCCTGCCCTA